GTTAAACAAAACAACAAATACGCTGAACGCAGAGAAACAAGGAAAGATTCAGCAGCTGGTGGAAACAAGTAAGCTGGGCCAGGAAAACCAGATCCCAGGGATATCCCCCAGCGTAGGTGGGTGACCATCACGAAACAAGAGAAGACTGAGACGGCAAAATTTAATAATAGTTAACATTTACATAGCACCTACCACGTAGCAGGCGCTCCAAAGCCAAGTGCTTTACAATTTTAACTCATCTGATCCTCACAACAACCCTGAGAGGCTATGACCCCCATTTTGCAAATGAGGAAACTGAGGCAGACAGCGGTTAAGTGGCTTGCCTAAAGTCACACAGCTAGTAAGTGTCTGAGGCCAAATTTGAACTCAGATCTTCCTGACTTCAGGCCTGACTCCATTCACTACGTCATCCAGCTGCCTAGCTAGGTGTTTGGGGAACACTGCCTATATTGCAAAATTTTTTCAGTTTGCTGGGGGTTTTTTCCTACTTTCTTTGGTTGGATGGGAGGGCTGTCTGGGAGAAGGGAAGTCAGGGATATGTGTAGGGGGAGGTAAGGAATCTAGGTTACAGAAAAGCAAAAAATACCAACAAAAACTAATTTTTAAAAGAAGCTGATTTGCGGGTACTTGCCCTGGGAGTCCAGAACAACTAGTTTGGGCTCTGAACAGTTATTTCCACCCCCACCCCCAGCTATAGATGTTCATGACAAAACGTCCTAAAGGCATTTTGGAAAGAGGAAGTGGTTTCAGTTAGGGGTAGTGCTGGCTCACTTATAAGCCTGTACAACTTATATGGCCAGTGCTTACCAGTGAATGAGCAGGGCACAAGAGAAACAGACAGAGAGACAAAGACCGCTTTGGGTATACGTCAGGCTTGCTGCTCCCTGGGCCATCTGGGGAGACCCAACAACAGCCCGACGCTCAGCTCTGGGTCAAGGGAGGGCAGAGCTGTCTAGGGGACTCCCCTGAGTCAGGCTCTGGGTGGCTGCCGGGAAGGGTCCCTGTGGGGATCGGGAGCTGTCAGGGTGCTCCGCCCAGGAGCCAGGGCCCTGACAGCCTGGGGAAGATGGACAGATGGGAAGACTCTAGTTCTCGGCATAGAAATTAGAGTAGGTCTGCCGGGGGGGGGGGGGGAAGGAAGAGGAGGAGGGGAAGAGGAGGAGGAGGAGGAGCCACACTCTGGGACTAGCCCATGTGGGCCTGCCAGGTGGTAGATGGGATTGCCAGGGTCACCTGTCCCAACTCATCCCCCTTCTCCCCGCCTAGGTACTCTCACGCCCAAAACCTGCCCAAGGCGCCCACCCCCCTCCTTCATCTGGCAGGAAGGAGCCAGGACACTTTCTAGTTAGAGATAGCACAGTACACTGGAAAGATAACAATAGATTAGGAGAGTCACAGAACCTGGGTTCAAATCCTGATGACTCTGCCACTTACTCCCGGTATGACCTCAGGTAAGGCACTTAGCCTCAGTTTCCTCATCCATAAAAGGAGAAGGTTGGGCCTCAGAGGCCCCTTCCAGCCCCGTTTTTAGGATCCTATTTCTTGGGGTTATGTCAAAGAGTGACTGCAGGCACGTGGCTTCTCCCCACTTCTTCCCAAGTCCTACCTGCTCACCCGCAGGCAGGAGCCACCTTGGGCACCAGCTGGCTCTGCCCTTCCCCCAGAGGCCTCTTGCAAGCCGATGCTGCAGAGACATTCGCCCTGGCTCCGTGCCCACCTGCTCCTATACCACATCTTAGATTTCCCTGGGGATGGGAGGGTTTTTAAATTCCAGGCAGTTGCAATATGGGAAAACGGTAGAACATGGAGGAGACGGGTTAGGTGGCCTCAGTATGCCAAGCCATGCCCATCGACATAAAGGGAAGAAGCAGCAGCCCGGGACCAGCAGGGCCCTGAGCAGAAAGGATGCTAGGATGCTGGCTTCCGAGGCTGCCTATGCCAACCCTCCTCTTTTGACAGAAGAGAGAGGTGAAGTGACTTGACCAAGGTCATACAGGCAGATCCTATGAAACTCTGGGCCTCAGTTTCCTCCTCTTTAAAAATAATTCGACTGGGTCATAGAGGCGGCAGTGACTGCAGCTGGAATGGACCTAGGAGCTCATTTTACAGATGAGGAACCTGAAAACCAGCAACATGAAGTGATTTGCCCAAGATTGTATATATAGGATTTGAACCCAGGTCTTTTGACTTCAAAGCCAGGGATCTTTCCACTGGACCACCCAAGCCAAAAGGCCAAGACAAATACCCTTAGGGATCCTCAAGAATGCCAGAAATGAGGGGCAGCTAGGTGGCGCAGTGGATAGAGCCCTGGAGTCAGGAGGAACTGAGTTCAAATGTGGTCTCAGAGTACTGTGTGACCCTGGGCAAGTCACTTAACCCCAGTGGCCTAGCCAAAAAAAAAAAAGAAGAAGAAGAATGCCAGAAATGCCTCTTCTCCTATGTGTTAGACAGAATTCAGCCTGAAAACAGAGGACTGGATAGACACCTGTCACGGTTCCCCCTCCAGCTCTGCCATGGATTAAGGAGGAAGCCATCACTAGAGGGCCTTAACATCACTCCTCACATTGTATCTAGGGCCATCTGAGTCCTACCCTGGATCCCACCATTCAAAGCAAGGTCATATGAGCATACATTTTGAGTTGGAAGGGGACTAAGAGGTCATCAAGTCTAAACCACTCCCCCCCCCTTTTATAGATGAAGAAATTGAGTCCCAGAAAGATAAGGTGATTTACTCAGGGCTGGGATAGTGTCTGAGGTGGGATCTGAACCCGGGTCATCGAGCTTCAAAGTTCACCAAGCCATGCCGCCTCTTAGATGACGGCAAGACTCCGCTCCCCTCTTCCGACCCCCGTGCCTCTCACTGACTCCTCTCCCTCCCCGCAGCTGGCAAAGCTGCCTGGATTCCAGCCGAGCCCAAAGTCCCGGGTCCCTCGCAGCGGTTCTGCGTGACGCTGTATCTACCACCTCCCAGGCCTCGAGGTCGGCTGGCTGCCCTCGGCATCCGTTTCCCCACCGAGGAGAGAGAGCTGGGGTCTTGCCTCTCCCTACTTCCTTAGCATTTCCTCCCACTCCCAGGACCAGAAACATCTGCTGGTTCAATCAGGGCTCCCGGCTGGACTGTGGGCAGGTCACCAGAGGCTGATTCTAGAGGCAGACAGGCCGGCCTCAGGTCGTCCTGTCCACTCCTCTGCCCCTGGGCCAAGTGCCCCCAAGCAGACAAGAGGGGGGCCCCAGGAACAGGGAAGCCAAGGCGCCTCTGGTGGCCTGTGCTGTCGGGAAAGCTGAGCCTCACTGTCCCCATCGAGGCCAGGCCCTTTCCTCTAGGGCTGCCACGAGCAGCCAAGCCATGCTGGGAAGGGCCACGCTTAGCACCTCCTCAGGACACCGGCCTTTTCTTCTCCCCGAAGGGTTTACAAAGACTCTCTGAGGAACATGGAAAAATGGGGCAGATCTTAATGCCAGCACCTGTCAGCTGATACTTTCTCCACCACTGTTCCACACCCCTTAACTTGAGACATCTTCAGTCCTAAACAGCTGATCTCTCCTAGAGGTGTTGTGGGACAGCATGGTACAGTGGGAAGAAGGCTGGCTTCCGAGGCAGAGGACATGGGTTCAAATCCTGACTTTGCCACTTACTGCCTGTGTGACCTTGGACAAGTCACTGAACCCCTCTCAGCCTCAGTTTCCTCACCCGTTAAATGAGGAGGTTGAACCAGGTGGTCCCTGAGGCCCCTCTCAGCGCCAGGTCCTCTCATCCTATGCCTCTCCCCAGATCACTGAGCCAGAGGATCCCACAGCCAAGACACTAAGACGTGAGAATGACCACTTCCCATTTCTAACCCAGGTGGACAAACTACTTTTCTCACAATAACCCTGAGGAAAAAATTCCATGAGGAAAATCTGGGGAGAATTACTGTTCCCAGTTCTCGGGCTCAGAGGAAGCCAAAGACTTTGTCAGGGAGACGCAGCAAGACGCACTGAGGCCAAGGGCTCTCCCCCACTAGACGGAGCCGGCCGACGCTCTGGCTACTGCCCTGAGGAGGCTCCAGGACCAGGCTTGATCTGTCCAGGGAACGTTACAGGACGTGCCCCAGCCCAGCAGACGCAGGGAAGATGCTGGGCCTGGGAGAAAGCCCGCAGGCCTCCCCAAGGAGGCTGCCAGGCACCCTCGCTCAGAATCTCCATCCCGACCACTCCCTGGAGCCAGCCGTGGCTCCCCAGAGGAAGCAGAGAGGCTCGCATCTGATACCTGGGCTGGGAAATCCGGCTCAAACCACTCTCCCACAAAGCAGATCACTGTCCAACCCGGGCCATGGCAGATCTCCACGGATCCTGTCAGGGGGTCGTGCAGCTGATCCACTCAGAGACCAACAGAGAGGTCCCTGCTCTTCTTGGGGAACTTGGGGTTCACTCTTGTCATGACACTGAATACACAGACAGGGCTTTACAGTTCACAAAACAGGAAGAGATGCGGCACGAGAAGAGATCTTAGAAGGCAATCCCCTCCTTTTACCCATGAGGAAACTGGGGCCTGCCGTCACCTAATCATAGATTTAGTGCTACAAGGGCTACCAGATGCCCCCTGCCTCATTTTTAGGTGCAGCGAGGTTAAGGGACTTCCCAAGGTCAAAGAGAGAGTAAATGACAGGAGGCAGGATTTGAACCCAGTCCCTATGACTCCAGAGGCAGTGCTCTTTCCACCATACCACCTGCAATATCCTTTGGATTGACTTAGGAAACACTTTCTGTGAGCAAAGCACCCTGGAAGACACTGGAAAAAACAACATGATTCTGGGCCTAGAGATGCAAGTGGTTTCAGGGGGAGGGGACCCCATGAGGAACATAACCTTCTAAGCAGAAGTCAGTCAGTCAATGAGCATTCATTAAATGCCTGCTGTGTGCCCGACGCCATATCCAGTGATGGAAGCCAAGACAGCAGGACATCAAGCCTCCCCCCCACCCCCACCCCGATCCCGGCCACAGCCACAGCAGGGACTTACGTCGGTGGGCTCCCTCTGCTGTCCAGGGCCGCCCCTCAGCCAGCTGCAGCTCAGCTCACTCAGCTCCGGGATGGGCTGCACCTTGAGCCGCACATGGTCTCCCGACTGCCGGATCATCTCCACGATCTCATCCCGCGACTTGTTCTCCACATTCTGCCCATTGATCTCCACCAGGCGGTCGCCGGGCACCAGCCCCAGGGCCAAGTCCTTGGTGCCCGCCCCGGGCTCGGCAAAGTGCACCACCCGCCGGTAGGCCTGCCCCTCGGGCGCCCGGTCCAGCATGGTCGTTCGCCGAAGGGAGAAGCCAAAATCCCCAGTGGGACGCCTCTGAAGCTCCAGCTCCCGGGGAGGAGGAGGTAGTGGGGACGCTACGGCGGGCAGCCGCAGGTCAGCAGCAAACCGTTTGCTCACCAGCTCAGGGCCCCGGGTCCTGGAGCCCGGCCACGAGGCACCAGGGCCGGCCTGACGTGCCAGCTGGCCCTCGAGGGTCCGAACCTCCACTTGAGGCGAGGGGGCAGCCGAGTGTTCCGAGGGCGTGGAGGTCTCCGAGGCACTCCCATCACGGCTCCGCTGGGAGAAGGAAAAACGCTTGACGATCATCTGTGAGTTCTGCTTGGCCAAGGAGCCAAACTTGGCGGCCCTCTGCAGCACAGAGGGCCGGCTACCCTCCTCGCCCTTGAGGTCGTCGCTAGAGCTGGCCGTGCTGAGGTGGCCCGAGTCGAGGATGACACTGCCCCGGTTGCTGTCAGAATCGATGTCGGTCAAGTGCAGGTCCGAGCCGCTGGCCACCTTGATGGGGATGGGGTTGGAGATCTCCAGCCTGGTCTTAGACTCCCTTTTGGAGGACCGGTTCAAGTTGAAGAAGCCCCGTCTAAGGCTCATCTCTTCCAAACTGCGCAGCTCAGCCGCAGACATTCGCTCCTTCTTCTCCTTCTTCTCCTTCTTCTCCTTCCGGCTCCCATCTTTGTCCTTGTCTTTCTTCTTCAAGTTAAACATGGTAGGAGTCTTGGGGGTGGGAGGTGGACCCCCAGAGGCTCACAGATGCTCGGCACCGGGCCCCTGCTCCCCAACTCGATGCTACAAATGGAAAAAAAAATGGAGCATTAGGAACTCATGTCCACAGAGAGCCTAGACCCAATCCTTACTCTAGGTAGTAGAGTGGAAGGGCTGCCCAGTCCTGTCCCTGTCTGTGTTGCCATTATCCTCTCCGAGCCTCAGTTTCCTCAACTGTAAAATGAGTTAGACTCCATAGTATCCAAGGTCCCTATCAATTCTAACTATGAAGTATTTTCCTGAAATTCCAATGACCAAGAGAGGCAGTGGGACCTGGGCGACCTTAGAAAAGAAGCGATCTCCTATGTGACCCTGGGCAAGTCACTTAACCCCAATCGCCTAAAAAGAAAAAAAAAAGCAATCTCTGGGCCTCAGTTTCCTCATCTGTAAAATGGGGGGTTGGACCTTCAAGGTCCCATCCAGCCCTAAATGTACGACCCTAAATCACTCAGCCTCCCTCAGCTTTCTCATCTGCAAAAGAAGGAGGCGAGACCTACTGGCCTCCAAGGCACCTCGAAGCTCCAGGTCTCTAAAGCTGATCCCCAAAGCAAGGAGCGAAACATCTGATTTTCTTCTTGCCTTTGGGATGTTACAAGCTACAGGACTTAGGTAGGTGGATAAGCATCTGGAGAAATCAGGAGAGCCATGACAGCAACCCAAACACCAAGGGCCGGGAGAAGAAAGAAAAGGATTTCTGCCCCCCGTCCCCGTTTGACCTCCATCCAGCAATCCAGGAAAAAGGCAGCGATTACTACTAGACTCTCTTTCCCAAATCTAAGGGGAAGAATGCTCGGTGCTTCCCTTCCCCATTTCCAGCCAAAGCTCCCTGCCCCTCCAGGAGCATCTGGCCCCCTCTGACTGCCCCGATCCCATAGCAGAGGCCTGAGATCCCTGAAGGGGAAAAATAAGAGGAAAAGGAAGTTCCCAGCTGAAAGAAACAGCAAACAGCTGGGGGTAGGAGGCCATGTGGTGGGAAGGGTCGAGTCCCCGATAAACAGGATCCTGGAAAACTCACATCCTTTTCCCTGCCATGACCAACACCTAAATACATACCCCAGGAGAACAGAAGTCCTGGTTGTGGTGAGCCAGAATGTAGCTCCCACCAGCTTGAGCGAGAAGAGAGGACAGAGGAAGGAGGTGGGGAGAGGGAGAGAGAGGGAGGAAGAAGAGAAAGAAGAGAGAGAGGAGAAAGGAAGGAGGTGGGGAGAGGGAGAAAGAGAAGAGAAGAGAGGAGATAGGAAGGAGGTGGGGAGAGGAGATAGGAAGGAGGTGGGAGAGGAGAGAAGAGAGAGGGAGAAAGAGAAGAGAAGAGAGGAGATAGGAAGGAGGTGGGGAGAGGAGAGAAGAGAGAGGAAGGAGGTGGGGAGAGGGAGAGAGAGGAGAGAAGAGAGGAGAGAGGAAGGAAGTGGAGAGAGGGAGAGAGAAGAGAGGAGAGAGGGAGGAGGTGAGGAGAGGGATAGAGAGGGGGGAAGAAGGGAAAGAAGAGAAAGAGAGAGAGAGGAGAGAGGGAGAGAGAGAGGAAGAGAGAGAGAGGAAGGAGTGGGGAGAGAGAGAGAAGGAGTGGGGAGAGGATAGAGAGGGGGAAGAAGGGAAAGAAGAGAAAGAGAGAGGAGAGGAGAGAGGGAGAGAGAGAGGAGAGAAGAGAGAGGAAGGAGGTGGGGAGAGAGAGAGAGGAAGGAGTGGGGAGAGGGATAGAGAGGGGGGAAGAAGGGAAAGAAGAGAAAGAGGAGAGAGGAAGGAGGTGGGGAGAGGGAGAGAGGAAGAAGTGGGGAGAGGGATAGAGAGGGGGGAAGAAGGGAAAGAAGAGAAAGAGGAGAGAGGAAGGAGGTGGGGAGAGGAGAGAAGAGAGAGGAAGGAGGTGGGGAGAGGGAGAGAAAGGAGACAAGAGAGGAGAGAGGAAGGAAGTGGAGAGAAGGAGAGAGAGAGGAGAGAAGAGACAGGAAGGAGGTGGGGAGAGAGAGGAGAGAAGAGAGGAGAGAGGAAGTGAGGAGAGGGATAGGGGGGGAAGAAGGGAAAGAAGAAAAAGAGAGAGGGGAGGAGAGAGGGAGAGAGATAGAGAGGGGGGAAGAAGGGAGAGGAGAGAGAAGAGGGAAGGGGGAAGGAAGAAGGGAAAAGGAGCCAAAATGAGGAAGGCCAGCCCACCAGCCCAGGGGCTACCACTCTCCTCTTTTGATCTAGCAGGCAATGAAAAGGTCACACCGCTCCACTAGAAATCAGATTCTAGTTATTTCCTCTCCCTCCATATCAATGCCACCACTTCCCCAGAAAGAAGCAGGTACCATAAACCACCCACCCATCCACACGATTGCCTTCCACCTTAGAGACCTCCCCGTTCATGCCTGGGGCAGAAGTGGTCTCAAACCAAGAGAACGAAGCATCCCAGCCAAGGAGATAAAGCTAGAAGCAGCCATCAGGAATCACAAGCGCTCAGACTGCCTGGGCCAGCATACTCATTGATTTATTCGGTTGAGGTCCCTCTTCTCAGGTCTCCCCCATCTCACCTCTAATGGGTGCTTTTGTAAGCTAATCAATTGTTCATCCTCTAGGGGAGGAACAAGGTCAGTGCCAGCTGCTGACTACAAGAGTGGATGGCCCTCCCTCCTCTGTCCCCTCATCACTGTTCCCTGGAGAGAACACCTACTACAAGTCTGTTGCCCTTTCATCATCATTATCACCATCTTCACCTTCACCATCACCACCACCACCACCACCACCACCACCACCTTCACCATCTTCACTATCACCATCATCATCATCATCATCATCATCATCATCCTGAATCTCAATACTTTCATTCAGTTACAAAAAATCCATCACTATGTCACCTGTAAATTAGTGCCCTGAACACAAAACAAAAAAATGCCAGGATGGCAACTTGTCCCAGGACCATTTCCAGCTGAGTTCCACCCAATATAGAGACAAGAATAAAATGATGAAGATGATAAGGGGACAAGCGAAAATAATATCTGGCCTTCCTATCGCGGTTCAAGGTTTGCAAAGTGCTTTATGTCCACCACCTCATTCAATCTGCACATCAACCCTGCAAGGCAGGTGTCACCAATAGCCCCAATTTACAGATGAAGAAATCGAGACTCAGCAAGGATTCAGGATGACCCAGCTAGGAAGCATCAGAGGTGATGTCCACTGTGTTCCAAGTCCAACACTCTCCACTGTATACCAGCCTCATCCTTCCAGGGATTAAGGAGAAGGGGGAGAGGTCTATCAGCACCGAGACTCCCGGGGCCCCTGGGCACATTCCCAAGGAGTCTCAGAGGAACAGGTAGTGTTGGTGTGCTGGCTAAATCCTTCCATGCTAGTGCTATTTCAAAGCCTCAAACCTTTGATAGAATGAAAATAATACAGAAGACCTGGGTTCAAAACCCACTGGGTGACCTTCGGTCCCTTAACCTCCTTGTCCAAGACACTGTAGTCTACAAACCTGTGTTCTCTTGACCCAAGCCTAGTTGCACTTGGCCAGGGACAGATGCCAGGCCAGCATCTCAGAACCTCCCTCCCCTACCAAAAAAAAAAAAAAAGACTCCAGCAGCTCTGGCCCGGAAGGAGCCTTGTGAGGTCATTCCATCCATCCCCCTGTCCCCTGGCAGCACTCCTGACTAGACCAACTCCAAAACAGTTTGCTGTCATTCAAAGAAGTTTTCTCTCAAGTGGAAAGGGCAGCAGAAGGTCTGGACTCTAGCCCTGGCAACAGCCCTGACTGCTTAATCTTGGCAGTCCCTCCACCTCAATTTCCGTCTCTGTAAAATGGGTTTGGGGAGGTAGATGAGATGATCTCTAAGGGATTTTCCAGCTCTAACATTCCGTGTTTTCCTTTGGACAGAAAGAGGGCACTTACTCACTCATCTGTCACCAAAGGCACTACCCGGATGCCCTTCGCCAGGCCTGGGAGAGCTAGGAGATTCTAATTCTGTTTCCACCACCCAGGGCCAACACCTCTTTTCCAGGATGTTTTAAGACCTCATCCACACCCATATCTGTTCCTCAGCCACCTCCCTGGTTTAGACTTTGGGACCTGACTGGTCTAGATGTTCAAACAACCTCAGAGCCTCTGATTTTATTGGCACAGGAAACACCCGGTGTGGAGCTCTCACCACCACCGATCTACAGCTCAGGAGATGTTTGAGGGAGAAACCTAGGATGTGGAGAGGCTGCAAAGTGAAATGACTTGCCCAAGGTCACGCTGCTAGTGTAAAGGCAGAACCCAGTTCTTGCTGAGTGTTTTTTCTACTCAGTCCCACTGCCTCACAGAGCAAACTCCCACCCAAGGTCACTACCCAATATGTGTTGCTCTGAGCATTAGAATTTGTAACCCTGGTGTCGGCAGAAGAAGAAGAGGAAGGACAAAGGGAAGGGGAGAGAATAAGCATTTACATAGCTCCTACTATGTTCCAGGCAGTGCGCTAATTAAGCACTTTTAAAATATTATTATTGTCATTATCATTATTGTTGTTGTTATCTGATAACTCCATTTTACAATTGAGGTAACTGAGGCAGAAAGAAGTTAAAAAACTTGCCCAGGGCCACACAGCTAGGAAGTGTCTGAGGCTGAATCTGAACTCAGATCCTTCCTGACTCTAGACCCAGGACTCTAGCCACTGCACCACCTAGCTTCTTAGCACAATGCCTAGTACACAGCATTTTCCATCATTCATCTAGAATGCCGACTCCCAACATTCAGGCTCAGTGGGGACCTCAGCAACCACCTAGACCCACCTATACACAGAAAGCATCTCCACTACAACCCACAAGATGTTGCTAAGACCTTCTCTTCAAGACCGCCAGTAAGAGGGGACCCCATTGACTCTTTTTTTTTTGCTTTTTTACAAAGTAATGGGGTGAAGTGACTTGCCCAGGGTCACACAGCTAGTAAGTGTCAAGTGTCTGAGGCTGGATTTGAACTCGGGTCCTCCTGACTCCAAGGCCAGAGCTCTATCTACTGCACTACCTCCTACCTGTCCCCTGATCCCATTGACTCTTAAGGCAACTTCATCCCACTTTTGGACTGC